CTTGAAAATAAACAAGCGGCCATCTAGCTGAAAAATAACAAAGCGCACATGGAAGAACCAGCCTGTGTGGTCACAGGTGTCAATAGGATCAGGTATCAGGCATCAAAGAACAAATAATCATATCAGTGTGAATGAGGGGGAGTGCAAGGTTGAGACCCAAAACCCATCTGTAGGCAACTGGACATCCCCTTACAGAAGGGTCTCGGGGAGGAGACGAGTCAGGGTGCAGTGCAGCACTGATGAAACAGACAACTTTGCTCTAGTTCTTTAATGTTCCCCCCCACCCCCCAATATCATGATTCCAATTCTACCTTACAAGTCCGGCTAGACCAGAGGATGCTCACTGGTACGGATAAGAGCTGGAAACAGGGAATCCAGGACAGATAATCCCCTCAAGACCAATAATGAGAGTAGGGATACCAAGAGGGTAAGGGGAAGGTAGGAGAGAAAGGGGGTACCGATCACAAGCATCTAGATATAACCCCCTCCCTGGAGGACGGACAACAGAAAAGTGGGTGAAGGAAGACATTGGACAGTGTAACACATGAAAAATAATAATTTTTAAGTTATCAAGGGGGTGGGAGGGAGGGGAATAAAATGAGAAGCTGATGCCAAGGGCTCAAGTAGAAAGAAAATGTTTTAAGAATGATGATGGTAACAAATGTACAAATGTGCTTGACACAAGGGATGTCTGTATGGATTGTGGTAAGGGTTGACGAGTCTCCAATAAAATGATTTAAAAAAAAGAATGTTAGTGAGCAAAGGAGGGAGAAGGAAGGTGGAGGCAAGAACCGAAGGAGATTTTTAAAGGGTGGGGATTGGGACTGTTGGGAAACTGACTTGGGCAGGGGCAGGTGGCAGGCACAGGGGCAGAGTGTGACAACCAGCCCCTCGCCAGACACGGCGCCCTACTGAGCACTCGTGAGGGTGGCCACCTGGCCGCTCCCTGACTGCCGGCTGGGGGTCTTTCACCAGCATCCCGTGCTCCTGACGGAGGCGCCTTTAAACCCACGGAAAAACCGGGAACGAGCAGCCGAAGTTTTCTTCGAGACCTTCAATGTGCCGGCCCTTTTCATCTCCATGCAAGCTGTCCTCAGCCTGTGAGTAGCAGCCTGGTCTGGGTGCCGGCTTCCCCCGCACCCCCTGCCCTGGTGCCAACCCAACACCGGGGAGGCCTCTGCCAGCGGTGGTTTATCAAAGATTGAAAGCAGAGAAGTCTGTTCCTGTCTACCCAAAGTGAGGAAACGCAAACAGACACATCCCTGTGGGAGGACACAAATGTTTTCACAGCCATGAAACGTCTTCCGTTGCCTTGACTTACCTGCCTGGCCCCTGTAGGTGTTTGAGCTTGGCAGCCTTGGTGGAGCAACAGTTAAGCGCTCTGCAGCTAACAGAAAGGTTAGCGGTTCAAACCACCCAGCAACTCCTCAGGAGAGAGAGACCTGACAGTCTGCTCCAGGAAGGGGACAGCGGAAGTAGTTGAAGGCCAGGCATTTGCTCCTCAGCCTGGGTGAGGGAGCTTGAGGGAGATCACTCCAGCCCTGAAGGAAACAGCCCACCCCCCACCCTTCTGGGTTTAGCTGGCACGGAACTCGAGAAAGAAGCGTTTCTCCCCAAGGTAAGCGAGGCAGGCACTAGTAATGGTCGGTCCCCTTTGCTTCAGTTATGCCACGGGCAGGACCACTGGCGTGGTGCTGGATTCTGGGGACGGCGTCACCCACGCTGTGCCCATCTATGAGGGCTTCGCCATGCCCCACTCCATCATGCGCATCGACATCGCCGGCCGTGACGTCTCCCGCTTCCTCCGCCTCTACCTGCGTAAAGAGGGCTACGACTTCCACTCCTCCTCCGAGTTTGAGATCGTCAAGGCCATAAAAGAAGTGAGTGCTGCCCAGGGCATAGGAGTGAGGGGAGGCGAGCACCTGCCCTGGGGCTCAGACCCCGTTCCCCCAGCCTGGCCTCACATTCCTGACATCCAGATGTGCTGCCACTTGGCTGGGGCAGGGAGACAGGAAGCTGCTTCCTTAGCTTCAGCTGTCTGGGTGGGTGGCAAGTGCACAGGAGTCTGCTGCATTTGTAGGCCTTGTGTACTTTACATACGTTGTCTTACCAAGAGCTCACCATACATTTTCCTTTACCCATGAGTCTAGCTGCCCCCTAAAACCATAGGGCCACCTCTGAGGTGGTTCGGAGAAACCCAGACCTTAGTATGTGCATGGCTGGAGAAGGAGGCTCGGGCTAGAACTGGGTTGTGCTCTCCAGTACCACGTTCCCAAGCTTGCCCATCAGGAAGGCAGATTGGCTAAGAAGGCATCCCCTGAACACTACTGGGGAGGGCCAGCACAGGCCTCCCTGCCCCTGCTCGGCCCTTCAACTCTGTCACTGCCGAAGGGCAGCTTTCCGTGACCTCAGAGCACTCTGCCTACTTTGACCCAGCGTATGGCGGCCAACCCACCCTCATGACTGTTGTGTTTGCCTCCGTAGAGGGCCTGCTACCTCTCCATCAACCCCCAGAAGGACGAGACGCTGGAGACAGAGAAGGCTCAGTATTACCTGCCCGATGGCAGCACCATTGAAGTAAGTGACCAGACCTTCCCACTCAGAGTGCTCAGGCCCACAAAGGCTCTGACCCCAAACTGCAGTGTCCACGAGGAGTGTGGAGTCAGATGGCCAAGCCTGTGTGGGCCAGCATGGCTCTTAGGTAGTACCGTGTCCTGCAAAGGGAGGCAGCTCAGGTGGGGAGGAGGCCCCATTGGTGTTTTATTTCGATTAGGATGGGGGCAGGACGTGAGATGGTCAGGGCTGTCTTGGCCCAGTCCTGGGTACTGCAGGGGTGGCCTTCCGACACCAGGGATAAGAACTCAGAATCACTTCTTGGCCTTTTGGCTAAGATCTTATGAAGAGGAGATCGTGAATGAATGAATGAATGGTTATATTTGTGCCAAAGCTTTCTTGCTGGAAACTGCCAAAGCCGGATGTGGGTCATCTGTCTACCCTTTGTTCCTCGAGGCCCTCGGCATGCAGGCTCTTTCCTGAGCTTAGCTCCCTAGTTACTCCAAGGTGGGGAGCTGGGTCTTTTCCACAAGAGCCCTTGCCGCCAGCCCAGGCCTGCCTCTGAAAGTGACCTCCCCCTGCAGATAGGGCCTTCCCGATTCCGGGCCCCCGAGCTGCTGTTCAGGCCGGATCTGATCGGCGAGGAGAGCGAGGGCATCCACGAGGTCCTGGTGTTTGCTATCCAGAAGTCGGACATGGACCTACGGCGCACCCTGTTCTCCAACATTGTCCTCTCGGGAGGCTCTACGCTGTTTAAAGGTTGGCCTTTCCTCTCGGGCCGGCCGCGCCCCCAGGAAGCTCCCAGACCCTGCCGGGTCCAGACACTCCGGTGATTGACTTGTGGTTTCTCTTCTGCCCGGGCAGGCTTTGGTGACAGGCTACTGAGTGAAGTGAAGAAACTGGCTCCTAAAGACGTGAAGATCAGGGTAGGAGCATGGTGGGGGCCGGGCCAGAGTAAGGGGGGGCCACCAACGGTCTGGAGTGTTGGCTCCTGGCACCAGTGTCTTGTCTCGGAACACACACTGCCCCCTGAGGCCTAGGCCTGCCAGAGGGGAGGCCCTATTCTCATGCTCCCTCTGTGTACTCCCAAGGAGGCAGTTCTAATAGCCAGCTGGGAACCCAGACAAACGGCAGATGACCCTGTGCTGCTCCTGTGTCCCTTTGCCCAGGGATGGTGGCTGTGGGGGGAGCCCAAGTTGGCCAGCCTGAGGAGAGGAGGGAGCCACAATGCGGAAGGGAGGTTTCTCCCGAGTCTGCAGTCTCCCTCTGCCTCGGGGCAGGGCTGCTCCCCAGAGCACCAGCTTCCCCTGGACCTCTGGGTTCTTGGTGCCTGCCCAGGAGAACCTGCTTTCCAGATGAATGTCAGGCTGACCACACATCCCAGGGGGGCCCTGGGGTCCCACCAGGCCCTGTCTGTGGGGGAAGTGTGCCAGCCCCCTCCTATGGAACAGGTGGAAACTAAAGTCAGGTCTGTGGGGGCGGAAGTCTCAGATTCCATCTTCCCCCACCCTGGCAGATATCTGCACCTCAGGAGAGACTGTACTCCACGTGGATTGGGTGAGTAGTGCTTCCAGAAATAAGAGCAAAGGCATCGCTTCACCCTCACCACCCCCACCCCTTACCCCCAGAACAGCCCAATCTAGGGCTGCCCCTCCATCTTACATGGCTCCTCTGGGTCCCTTCCCTCCAGGGGCTCAATCCTCGCCTCCCTGGACACCTTCAAGAAGATGTGGGTCTCCAAGAAGGAGTACGAGGAAGACGGTGCCCGGTCCATCCACAGGAAAACCTTCTAATGCTGGGACAGCAGCTTCACCTCTCTCTGAAGTTAACTCCACTTTAAAACTCGCTTTCTTGAGTCGGAGTGTGTGAGGAACTGCCTGTGTATGCAAGCGTGTGTGTGGGTGCGTGGGGTGTGAGTGTGCGCACATGCGAGTGCCATGGGGCCCAGAAAGGAGATGAACTGCCCACGATGGAGACGGCCTGAGACCTGGGGTTGACCACTAACTGACCCTGACAGGGAGGTGGCCGGCAGAGGGCCCCCACTCCTGTCAACTGGGCCTGTGTTGGCTGTGTGGGACTCCATTTATTACGGGAGGGAGATGCAGAGGCAGGTGTCCCCAACCCCTAACCCCTCCCCACTTGCTGCTGCCTGTCCTAGCTCTCCCCCAACCCCACCCCCTTTCCCCTGGGTGGGGTCTCCCAGGCAGCTGCCACCTCGCCGTGCTCGTTCTTCTGCTCTGGGGCACTGGGGCACTGGGGCACGGGGCTGAGGGCTGGGGCCAGGGCTGTTTGCTTTTGGTGCCGTTTTGGTTGGGAAGCTGGAAAAGCACTGCAGGAGCTGTTAAGCGTCCAGGGCCAGGCCAGGGGAGGTGGGTCAGCCTGCCCTCCAGTTCACCCGGGACCAGGGCCACCTGGGGCATTTGAGGAGGACAGGAGTAGTACTGCTTCTGATTGGCCACAGTTGATGCTCTGTCCCAGCCCCGTCCCGGGGCCGTTGGCTACAGGTCCTGCTGCGAGTTTTCCTTCCGTCCTTCTCTCAACGCCACCTTCAGTTTTATTTATTAAAGTGTTTCTTCAGTGAGGGGGCTGAAGTGCGTGGAGCTTGTCACCTCCCGCCTGCCAGTCACCCTGTTCACACTAATGTTTACAAGCACCTCAGCTTAGCGTAGCACGCAAGGCCCCACCACCCACTGCCACTGGTGAGCTGCCAGGACCCAGGAGCCCCAGGGCTGGTGTGAGGCTGGAGGCTGCCCTCCGAGGCCCTCCCATCGTCCATCTTGTTCGCCCTCCCCCAGTGGCTCACTGCCCTGGAATCGCAGGCCAGCTGCTGGTGGCCTTTTCTGAAAGGGAAGGGTCCCCCCTTTCTCTGGTAACGGAGCTCCATCCCCACCCCTGGGCCCAGAGGAAGAGCTGCCCTCAGGACGACAGTAACCGCGTTGCCTTCTCCACGCTTGCTGGTTGTGGGCCCCGAGGACTTTGGGCTGCCCTTGTGCCACTGTAGACTTTGAACCTGAGCGGGCAGCAGGGCACCCCTCTCCTCTGCTCCTCTGAACCCAGAGAGCACCAGGTTGGGACTAGCATGCCTTCACTGGCACGGAGACCTGGGACACCGAGACCCACCCACTTCCGAAGTCCAGGCAGTATTCTCCCCCTCGCCGTCTTATGACCAAGGGCCCCTGCCAGACGTGGGCGCAGCGGCAGGTGTGTGTGACAGCAATGTGGCGACCGCAGACTGCAGTGTGCTTTACCAGCTCACCTCCCTTTCTCAGCCCAGGCCTGGCCCTCGCACAGCCCACGTTGCCTGTGGGGCCCAGTACACGTAAATAAAGCCGTTCCGATAGACGTGCGCATCCGCCGCCCCTCTGTAACAGCCACTGCTGGGTGGGAATCTGAAGGAGCTGCGTCCCAGAAGCCAAGTCGGGGGCGGGACGGGGGGTGGGGCGCTACTCCATCTGGCCTCTAGAGGGCACTGTTGCACTCGCTAAAGGACCAGACCCAGATCAAGGGGGAGCCCAGTCTGCTGGGTGCACGCACCATGGTGTTCATAAAGCCCAGCCCCCAGCGTTGAGGCTCCCACCAGAAGGATGGAAGCATCTCTGACGTCAGAAGTTCTCCAGACCCGCGCGAGTGAGAATCCTAGGACCTTCGCAGAGTGCCATTTCCAGGGCCCTTTCACGGATGGTCTGGTTCATTCATTTTAAACCCACGGTTGGGGGGAAATATCAGCCAAGTGCTTTACAAATGCTAACCCAGTTCAACCAGTGACTAAGCAGTCCATGTTTTTCACTTGTCCAGAAGGTGGAGCTACAGAAAGAGTACAACTCAGCAATCGTTAAAGCTTGGACTTTGTAGCCCAGAGCCTGCCTTCTCAGCCCCTCAGCCCTCCCACCACGGGCCCACTGCAGCAGGTCTTAACAGGTCCATTTAGGGACATATATTTGGTTGTCACAACTGGATGTTGGTGGGGAGGGGCGAGTGGCAGCCAAGGCAGCAGAGGTCAGGGGTACTGCAGAGCCACAACAAAGCTGACCCACGGCAGTGCATCTTGGTCCAGGCTACACAGGAAACTGGCCTCCGGAGCCTTTACAAACCCAGGCCTGAGAAATAGTGTCAGGGCCTAGAACTCCCACATGGGTAATTAGCACAAGCTCCCCAGGAAATCTTGAGGTTGAGACCCTCTGGACTGCCCGGTCCTAACATGGCCACCAGCCCGTAACCCACCTACCCCTTGTATTTGGGAAACTAGTCAGGAGCTCCCTGCCCCCACCACACAGCACAGAACCAAGGAATAGAAACGAGGGCTTTATTCTGTCGGTATGAAATGAACCTCTTCAGAGGCCAGGGTAGCCCTGTGGTAGCTACTGCAGGCCTGACAGAGAACCACAGGGAGGGGTGGGGGGAGGGACCTCGGGACCAGAAGTGGTTCCTGAGCCTATAGGGCAGCAGGGCAGGCATCCATGCCCCATAGTGATCCCATGAGCACCACAGGGCAGCCCCCAGCCCCTCTTGGTCCCATTCTTTCCTCCTGTCCCCCGAGGGGGGAAACAGGTCCCTGAGACATATGCCCAGCCCTCCTCCAGCTGGGCCAGTCAAGTCACACAGAACTCAGCCCTTCAAGATGCTCTCGGCTGAGCCCTGAGCCAAGGAGCATGAACTCTGCCATCTGCCTCCAGACTGCACCTCCCCACGCAGCCCTGCTCACTTCTCACACTGTCTTAACATCCAGGCCCTGGGCCTGTGACAGGTGCTGGCGCTGGGCTTTGACCGTGTGCAGGTGTCGCCCGTGCAGTGTGAACTGGGACCAGGTGAACAGCTGCAGCAGCGCACAGGTGATGGGCACCAACACCAGCAGGTAGAAGCAGCCCTGGCGCAGCGTCGGGGCCTGCGCTGGGGGTGGGGCTGGGGGCTCTGGCCAAGGCTGGGCACTCCCCACGGGGGCCAGCGGAGACTGCTGGAAGAGATCGTGACCTAGGACGAGAACACAGGAGGCACAGTGGTCAGCTCAGCTCACCTCTGGAGTCCACAGTGGGACACTTCAAATGGGCCATGTACCTGTCTAAACCACAGCTCCTGGTTTCCTCCCAATCTGCTCCTCCCCCACGCACCTCAGTGAAGGGGACCTTCATTGACTTAGGCCAAAACCTCAAAATTGCCCCCAAATCCTCAGTACCCCTCCTCATCCGATCTCTCCTTCCCCTAACTCTCAAAACATCCCAAACCCACCCATTTCATTCCAGCTGTTGCCACCACTGGGGCCTGGAGGTCACCCCGCTGGCTGGCCCTACACAGGCTTCAACGGATCCATTCTCCACGCAGCAGCCAGGAGCATTACAATGTGAACCAGACTCCTGGGCTCTGAAGGTGGGGTGGGAACCCCTTAAACTACTGCCCGGAGGCCATCTTTAAACCAGAAACCGGAAAACCCCTAAAGTCTCTGAAAACCAAACAATCACTTAGCAACTTACTAGAAAAAAATCTGCCTTGAGCATTATGTTAGTTTCAGATCTAGATGGGGTAGTTGGCACAGTGGTTAAAGTCAGTGTCTGGCTGCTAACCCAAAGGTTGGTGGTTCAGACCCACCGGCTGCTTCCGAGGAGAAAGAATGACAAATGCTCTCTGGGCTTGTTTATTGGACCAAACTGGCAACAGCAACTAGAAAGATGAGCTCAGAATGTTGAGAAAGAGGGAATTTACGTTTGCTGGGAGAGAAGAACAAGTCAGGAGGGTGAGTGAGTGACGCCACGCAGAGAATGATCAATTGCACTGGATTATGCTGCAGAAAGGGATGAACTGACCTATGTTTTGCTCTGCGTGTACGTAGCCTCTACAACAACAAAGATTCTATCCATCCCCGGTCATCGAGTTGACTCCAGCTGACCCTACAAGGCCCTGGTGGAACGGCCCCACGGTTTGAGGCTGCGCATCTTCCCAGAAGCAGACTATCAGATCTTTCCCCGAGCAGCAGCTGCTGAGTTCAAACTGCTGACCTTTTAGTTAGCAGCTCATCACTTAACCCACTGTGGTACCAGGGTGCCAAATGAAACCATATGAACCTATTTCTTTAACCCAAAGCGATACCACACTCCCCTGCTGAAGCCAAACCCTCCCAGCACTGTCGTTCGCCGAGAACGAAGTCGAAGCCCTGCCTTGATCTGCCAGGCTCTCTCCTCTTCTCCAGACTCGTCTCCTGACCACTCCTGATACCATGGGCCTTGGCATTTGCTGTCTCCACCGTCTGGGGCTACCCAAGGTCAGTTCCAGACCAACTCTGCTGCCCTGTCCCATGTCTTGAGCTTTGCTCTCTGGGAGACGTCTTCTCTAACCACGCTCCGTCATCCCACTGGCTCACGTCCGTGTTTTAATCAGAGCACTTATCCCTCCCTTCATAGCTCTGCTCATGCTCTGGTGTTTTCTGCGTGGCTATTTATTGCAAGCAAGCCCTACAACATCCAATCATCCTTCCCCTGGCTCCCAAACCTATCCCAAACCCACCCAATTCTTTCCAGCTCCACTGCCAGCACACACACCGGTGAAGGCCTTGCCTACCTCATTGTAACCCCCAAGCTCTCAGAGCAGCACCTGGCAGACAAGGTGTTCTGCACATGCTTGACCAATGAGACAATGGACAGAATGGGAGACACTAAAATCCAATCCCCTCTACCTGCATGGGAGGGGTGTTAGCCCAGGTTGGCCCTGGCCCAGCCTCGGTCAGACAGTTGCCATTCTCTCCCTCACTGGACCAGGAGTTTAAGCTCACATATGGTACCCTGGGTAAACCGGAGCCCCTGAAGCCTCAAGAGCCCCTCGCCAGCCCCCAGGCCCTCCCCCCCTCACCTGTGTAGAAGCAGAGCAGCCAGGTGCCCAGCAGCGGGGCAAAGGTCTGGCCTGGTTTGGTCACCAAGGCAACCATGCCAAAGAGAAGTGCGGAGGCCGCCTGCTTGCGATGGTTCAGCACCAGGTCCTCGTCCACTAGGTCCGTGACCACGAGGGTCAGCAGCTTACAGGTGCCCTCGGTGAAGACACGGTTACTGGCAGTGGTGAGAAGAGGGGTCGAGAATGACACGGGGTAGGGCAGAGGAGGTGGAAGCAGAGAGGGGGCGGGCGTACCTGGCAATGAAGAAGCAGAGCAGGCCCGGGCGGTCAGGACCAGCCAACAGCATTAGGAGGCTGAGGCCCAGCTTGAGCAGGAAGAGGCCGCGCACCACCGTGTAGACCCCCCAGCGCCGGCACAAGGGCAGAAAGTAGAGGTTGTTGAGATGGGGCGCCACATAGGAGATGCCTGGGGAGAAGGGACCCAGGCTCGGGGGCATGGCCACGGCTTATCAATGTCTGACCCATCCAAATCACTGCTGGCGTGCAGCGGACCCCGGCGCACAACACACCCAGTGCTGTGCTCACTGCTTGCCATTCGCTCCTGTTCTCGTCTGCCCATTCAGTTGCATAGTCTGTTTGTTTTTTGTTTTGTTTTTTTACCATTTTTCCTCTGCTGGGTTGTTTTTTGTTTTTTAGTTCTATTGACCTATAATCCCTGCGCCATACAAGTCAATGGTCTGAATCGATAGAAGAGTTGTGCACCCATCACTTTTGATAGTCCTCGCAGCCCTTTATCCCCATGTGAGAGGAGGCAGAAGAGGGATGGCAGACCCTAGGTCACACAGGGAAGGACCCCAGGCCAGGGGCACCCAAGTTCCCCAGCGAGCAACTCTTGCCTGTTAACTAGCACTGCACCCGTTCTCTCAGGGTGGCACCATTGCCAAGACGCGAGTCCCCACCCCCCTCACCTCCACACACAACGGGCTCCCACCCCTTCCCCTGGAAAACTTGAGTTGGGCCCGAAGGTGCGTTCACCCCTCCCCTCTGACACCCAGACCCCCTGCATCCACACAGGTGGGGGAGCCACATCTGCAGTGGGGCTAGGGGACCTGAGGGACAAGCTTCTGTCCTTCCAGCCTGTGCAGCACGCCCACTCACCCAGCAGGAAGGAGCCTGTGGACAGGGAGATGTGGTCTGACAGCAGGTGCTCCAGGAAGAGAGGGAAGAAGTTGCTGTTGAAATGGCAGTGGAAGACCTGGAACCCAACAGGGGCCATGAGGGGGCAGCACAGAGCCACAGTCCACACATCCCTTGGTCCTCCTGCCCGTGTCCTAGAGGCAGAGCATGCCAAAACCAACCCCTGCCCCCAACCTTGGGGTCGATCTCTACGAAAAGTTAGCTGGAATTAGACTGCTCATTAAAGTGATTGAGTGTTATCTTTTTAATGAAAACCAGACAATAATTTGGTGGCATGAAGACATTCTAAATTCGGGGACCTTAAATACCTCGCCTGTTTTAAGTGTGGCACTTTGGGGTTTTTCGGTTTGTTTTCATTGCCACACAGTCCCCAAACAAGGCACATCCCCCTCATCTGCTCGCTCCACTGGCAAGGACAAGCTGCCCAGAGAGGCTGCGTCCTGCCTTGGATTCACAGGAGCTCCCATAGAAGGTGCTGGAATTCAACCTCCGACCTGCCTGGCCTGGGCTCTGAATTACAGGGAGGCCTTACAAGAGACCCAGAACAGGTCACCCAGCTCTTGAGGAAACTGGCCCCTTGACCGAGGTGTCCCCCAGCTATCCTGGGGGAGAAGGGGCTGCTCCCCATACCTGCACCAGGTCCATGCCCACGAACCACAGGAAGTTCCGGTGGCGTGCCAACTGCCGGAGGTACTGGCCCAGGGTGACTCCGCCCACTTCCTGCTCCTCTCCACACGGGCTGTCCACAGGACCAGGAGGGAGTCAGCACTGCCGCAGGCTGGGCCAGGGCCGTTCCCCAGGTGGGGTAGCCACCCACCTGCCAGGGGACCCAGTGTAGTAAGCCTCCAGAGAGTGCTGGGGGGACCCTGTAGAACCAGGGCTGGCCACTCACCCGCTGTCCACAGCCAGCGCCGGACACCCTGGCTCCCTGCTGCCAGCCATCTCCATGCGCCTCCTCAGGAGCCGTGTGGCCCCCACAAAGCCCAGCCCAGAGCCAGCGGCCAGGGCCACACAGAACGCACGGAAGGAGGAGAAGTCCTCCTTGTTCCAGAAGGCATAGGAGGCGAAGACAGAGAGGGAGCCCACGGCGCTGAAGAGGGAGCAGTAGAAGTTGAGGTGGGTGCGGTCGTGGGCCGAGAGGGCCAGGTCAGCCAGCAAGGCATGATGATGCAGGTCCACGAGGGTCAGGAAGCCGTCGTAGAGGCACAGGCACAACAAGAACTGCAGGCCAGCTGGGGCCCAGGGCACCCAGAACGCCAGAAACGACAGCGCCAACAGCGGCCCATGCCAGCCCAGTGCCCGCACCCGGGTCAGCACCACGGCCCTTGAGGAGAGCCCAGCACCCAACCTGCCAGGGAGAGGGTGCTGCTGGGAGATGCTCTTCAGCTTGGCAGGTCCCAGCCCCTGGCGCCCACCCTGGGCCCCAGAGGAGGATGGAGTGGCCCAATGTGGGACTCACCCCAGACCAGGGCCTCCAATTTAGTTAGTGCTATCCCAGTGGGCACTCGCTCCCCAGCCTACCACCTCTGCCTCACTCTCTTCCCCTACAGGCTGCCAGTGCCGTCACCCAGAGTGGTAGGAGACCCACTTCTCAGGGTGGGGGCACTGATGGGATGCAGGGGGCGGGGGGCAGAGAAGCTGCAAGCAGCAGCAGAGGGGGGCTCGCAGACAAAGTTCATCCCAAGTGGCAGACCAGCCAAGCAGGGGTCCGTCTCTTCCACCAGGACAGCAAGGCAAGGGTTCATGAAGGTTATTTCTCCAACCAGGCAGAGCAGGGCAGGGATAGCTGAAGATGACGCGCCTATCTCCCACCCGAGCCCCCACCATGGGCAGGAGGGGAGTGGGACAGAAAGCGAAGCGGCCCAAGAGCATGCACACACACACACACCAGGGCTGGGAGCTGAGGAACTGTCGGTCACTGAGCCAGCCGAAGAGGGGGTCATTGAGGCTGTTCCAGACAAGAAACACGGCCTGCAGAGGGGGGGGAGGCAGGTGAGCTCCAGGTGACCTCATCTTCCGTCTGTTCAACACCCATCACAGATGGCCCCCTGCCTGCTCACCTGCACACGCTGGCTGTCTATCGGATGAAACCCACTATCCCAGCCACTGTCCCTGACTCCTCCAGGCGGCCCCTACTAGACTACCCATCAGACTCCGAAGCAGTGCTGGGCTTGCAGCTGCTCCAGTACCTGCTGAGAAATCCACACCCCACCCCCACTCCCACCCTCCACCTCCACCCCTCTCACCCAGCGAGGTGCAGGGACAACCTGGGAAGGACCCAGCACCTGCCATCCACCGGGCCCTACCTCTCCAGCCCAGAAGGCTGCTTTGTTGATCTTGTACACAGACACAAAGGTGTCCACATAGTAGAGCAGGAACACGTTGTGCAGGGCGGAGATAAAGAGGGCCAGGGAGCCATAGACCACGGCTGTCGGCAGGCCCAGCAACCAGGCCTGGGGCCAGGCCAGCCCCATGGCTGCCAGCCCCAGCCCCAGCTTCAGCAGCACGGAGCCAGGCTCACGGGCACGGGTCCTCTCGCCATCCTTGTCCCTGGAGGAGGAGGAGCCAGTGAGCAGCGGGGATCAGAGCCAGCCCTACACCGTGCAAGAACTCCGTTCCACTGAGCGCGTGAGCGAGCAAGTCCACACACAACAAAGCCGGGATTCACCCGTGAGTTATCTCTGGAACGGTGCCCAGCTAGATGCCCGGGAGTAGCCCGGCCAAACCGATAAAGCCTGGGAGAAAGGAGGCAGGGAACCCAGCCACGGCTGAGCCAGGGGCCACAAGCCAGAGCTGGCGGCTGGTTCTCCTCTCCAGTGGCACCACAGGACTCCGCCTTCTGGACTTGGCAGCCCCGGGTTGGAGCACACACTGTGCCCACAGCATTAACGCTGGCAAGCTGCTTCACCAGCCTCAGGTTCCTCTTCAGCACCGAGCAAGCGGGGGGTGATGTCCTGGGCAGAGGAGCCTCAGGATTAAACTAAATGTCCCTACTCAACACGTGGGTGTGGTGGTGTCACCATCCCTTTCACAAAACCCCACGGAATTTGTAGCACTCAGTATTTTACACCAGACACCTCAAGCTCAGAGACATTAAGTGACTTGCTCAATGTCACGTAGGAAAAAAAAAAAAAAAAAAATTAGGTTTTGAATCCAGGGCCATGTCACATGAAAGCCTGTTCCGCCTTTGGGTTGCCATTGCCGGGGAGAGAGGGGAGGGGAGACGCAGGATGATGGCTAC